TGCCAGTCCGAACTTCTTTGGCTTTGTAAACCTCCTGATGAGTCTCTTGGCCACCAGTCAGTCTTCCATCTCCAGCTCCTCATGCCTCCAGAGGGCTCGTTTCATCAGTTCTCAGACATGCGCTTTCACATAATGTCTCCGAAGTCAGAACTCAACTTAGTCAATGGCATACCGTGGTGTCATCAGCAACCTGCAGATCTTACTTAAATGGTTATGTCTTAGAATCGATACCTTAGGTTTAATAAGCAGTATATCTTTTTAAAACAGATCAAGAACTTTAGTTTTTTCCAGTTTTCTTAGAATTGAACTTCAATCCTTTTGTCTGCCAGACCCCATTTCTCATGACCTGACTCCAGCTTCCTTGTCTCCAGCCTCATTTGTGCCTCTCCCCGACTGCATGTGCCCCTGTGATGACCCCAGACGGGGCAGCTCACATCCCACTGTACTCTGTGCTCACCCTCTGCATCCTGGGAGACAGAGCTCAAGGAGCATGCTCACCGTGACACCCAGCCTGCCTTTCTCTCGTCCTCACCTCCTCTCTCTGATCCTCAGGCAGGACAGCACCCCGTTGCTTGTTCTCAAAGCTGTAGTCAGTCTGCTTTATTGACCGCAGACCTTTGCATCTCTGGTATCTGACAAGCACTGTGTTCTCAGGAAGTGTTCGGTGGAATGTACTGGAGCATGGAAATCCAACTTCTGGAGGAAACTTGGGATAGGCTTATAAAATCCTGGGTATTTTGTGTCCCTTTCCCAGAGGTGCCTGCTTTTCTACAGCTCATACTGACTTACTCTTATGCTGAGCGTGCTGGCCTCGAGTTTCTAGATAGAGGAGGCCACTTTTTGGGGAGACTTCAACATTTATTATTCCCATGAGTAATGAGATCTCATCATTGTGAGGTACCTGTTTGATTCCCCACCCCCAATTTCCTTTCTCTCCATGAAGTTTGGCATAGGGTATGGTTTTGTTTTGTTTTATTTGCTTTTTGTTTTTTTTTATTAGCAAACTACTTACCTTTGTATGTTTTGAAGTACAGAGTTCATTTCATGGTCTCCTGGCTGTCGGACTTGAGGGAAAGGTAATAAAACCATCCTGAAGGCGGATCTGCCTCTCTAAGCGAAGTGCGTTTCTTAGCCCCTGTGACCTGGGAAGAGCGCACGGTCTGGTGGGAGAGATCTGGCTGTGGAGGCTCATGTCCCGCGGTACCATTCGTTCATGGCAGCGGTCTTGGGCAAACCGCTTAACCTTCTGTAGTTTTCCCGCCTCTCAAACAGTGTCCAGTGAGAGGAGACAGTGCACATAATGGGCCTTTAACACAGTGCCTGGAACCCAGGGGGCTCTCAAAGGTTAATCTGCCTCAGCTCCTCACCACCTCCAAGTAACACTGTCACTGATTTCTCCCCTCTGGGAAGCCAGGTTTTTAGCTCTCATTAATCTTATAGAATTGTCAGATTATACCAAACAAGGGAATTTTAGACCTTAAGTAAAGTTTATTTTTTTCTACTATCAGTTCAAAAAACTGTAAATTTCTTTTGGGGATTCTACTAGTTGCTGCATGTGTCTGTTCCAGTTATAGATCCTGAAACTGGGGAAGTCACCTCGGGCCAGCTCGGGGACCCACCGGGCCCTCTGGGATGGACCTGAGCCAAAGCTCCACGGGTCCCCTCACCCCCTGGGGCCCCTACTCAGACTGGTGAGCCCAAGCAACATTTAGGATCTCTAGAAATTAGTGTCATTTCAGAACCAGTGGCTGGTAATCCCTAAAAGTCTGACCATTTTCCCTTCTCCAGTGCAGTCACCTTGGTAAATTGTAAGACCAGTGCCTCAGCTGCTCAGAAGGGAGGTCCCTGGGAGGTCCGGCAAGGTTAGTAGGTGGGCATTCAAGCTGAGCATTCAAGTACACATTCAGATTTGGGGAGGGGTGTTTTTTAGATAGGGATCACCCAAACACATACAGATCCCAAACAAATACAATAAAGAGCAGCCCTGCCTGGCAGCAACATGGGTTTTGGTTGTAATAGCCTGAGAAATGGGATGTGTAATCATCCACCTTCACTTTCTGATCTGTTTCACCTTTTGCTTAATACCTGGCCTGCAGCACTGGAGATATTAACTCAGTGACATCCTAGGACTCGGCTGCGATCCAGTAGGAACAGTGATGTGAGTGACAGTCAGGATGTGATGCCCTCAAAGTATCTTGCACTTGGCAAAATGTATTTCATGCCTGTGACTTAACCCGCAGAAATATGTGGGGCAGGTGTCATTCTCGTTTGGTAGATTGCAATACTGAGGCTCAGAGAGGGTTGGGGACTTGCCCAGAGTTCCGGCCATCATGCCTCAGTCTCCCTGTGTTCCCTTTGAACTAAGAAACCATTCAGTAGACCCATGGGACTCCTTGCCTTCTGGTCTGTGCTCTTCCTGTTCTTCAGTTTGGCCTGCTTCTTGAGAGAGATTAGCTGAGCACCACATCCCCTCCCTCTGTCTCCCTGTGAGTAAGTCGGAGGCCCAGGTAGGCAATCTGCCTGAAGGAAAGAACTGGGATTCTGACGTGCCGCTTTGGTTTCCTAGTGGGCAGCTGGGGGTTCCCGTGTGAAAACCTGCCACAGCTTCTCGTGAAATACACCTGTGCAAAGAAGTCCTTTTTGTCTCTAGGACAAGCAGCCTCGCCCCCAGCTTTCCATTCTCCCTTGCGCACGGATGCTGTGTCTGATTCTGAGAATGCTGCTCCCTCTCCGGTGCTTTCCTCTCAATAACCAGCCCCCTCCTGTAGAGCCTCCCGAGCTCAGCTCACTTCCCCAGAGCAAGCTCTTCAGTCCTGAGGCCCGTCTGCCCCACCCGCCCACTGACATAGGGCGCTTTTTTACCCGATTTCTTTCCCTGGATTCTCATAACCTGGACTTACATCGTAGTCTGTTTTGCAGACTTGTTTTCTTTTGAGTTCAGTTGCCATAGTTCCCAACTTTGTATATAAAGTAGTCATCATTCCCCACCCTCTCTTCCCCGCTGTTTCAGTGAAAAAGTTGCACTGTTTGCTGATGTGCCCTTTGCAAAAGGGATCTGATGGCTTTTTAATCGTTTCCTTTCTGGCTCTACCACCAGCAGACATTTCTTGGTCTCCTATTTATGAGTCTTTGTCCTGGAGTCTAGATTGATTCTGGATTCACATCACCACTTTGCTTTGTAGTGTTTTTAGACAAAGAACCTCAGCCCGCCGGAGCTGATGACCTAGAAAGAAGATCATTATGAGATGGGGAACGACTGATTAAAAAAAAAAAAAATCTGCCCTAAACTGGTTCTACCTGTATTGCTCTGATTGTGAGTAATACAGATGATGAACAAATTATATAATGACAGGGGAAACGAGGCCTGCCAGGTCATGGTCAGAAACCCAAGGGTTTTGCCTCATCCATGTTATTGCCTTAACGTAGAACTCCCAAACTTTGGTAGACTCTGTGCCTTGGTAATTTCGGGGCCATGCGGCTAGGAAGGGGGGTACATCTGGATCACCAGTTTTCCTTATAAAAAAGTAGAGTAAAGGATGGGTAAAAAAAAGAACCCTACAGGAGTGGGTGTGTGAGGACGGGAAGCCCTCACTTTTGGTAGAATGGAGACACCATCATGGCGATCAGAGGACTGTCTCTGGACCCTGGCTTAGTCACGAGTGATCCACGTGACCACCTAGGGTGGGCCCAGCCTTCAGCTAGGCAGACCTGTCTACTTAGGCGTAGCTCTTGGGGCAGTGGTAATCACCAAATAACTTCACATAGGGGTGCGGTGTGCCATGAATTGCTCTCTGAAGAACATAGATGCCAGTCCCCTGCTTTCCTGGAGCTTCTGTGGTTCAAAGGGAAAGACTTTTGGAAAGATAGAGCCAGAGTTTCAGGCCAACACAATCAACACATTTGATTCCACCTATATATCTCCCTTGGACCCCGCTGTCCCCACCAGACTTCCTGTTTACAGGTCCCGTCTGTCTGTTCCTTTGTTCCATTAGTCCATCCCATCTCTCAGCCTAGAGTTCCCTTCTTCTCCCTGCTGGTCAATTGCCTGTCCTTTAGAGGTAACCTAAGTCCTTTCCCTTCTGATTTCTTTGGCTCTGGCAACTCCTACCCACCTTTTCACTGTTCATAAAATGACCTTGATGTAGATGCACAGCTTCGATAGTTGCTATTGTAGATACCAGTTATCTCCTTTAAATTAAGCTTCATAGAGATGGGCGTGTTGTGCCTTCACTGTGCTAGGCATACAGCAGGCACAGAAAACACCAATGAATCGGAGTGTGCCTCTGGAATAAAAATTGCAGTGCCGCTCTAGATGCATTGACAAGAATCATTATACAGGTTGGGAAAGAAAGGAGGGAAGGTCATTTGTTCGGCATGAAGCGAGAGACATTTGACAGTCTTCTTGGGTACTTTGCCTTGCCTCAGCCGCAGCTCTGGGAGGTACGGGAGGTATGGGAGGTACGGTTCTGCCTATTTGGAGACAGTGTAACAGAGTGCAGTGGTTCCACGGTCAAATGGATTTGAGGCTTTTAATTCTTTAAGTTTCCATGAGCCTCAGGTTTTTCACTGTTTAAGACAAGGGATGTTTCCTCCTGCCTCCTTTACGTAGTGGTGAATATTAAGTTGAAGGTCACATGCCAGTGCAGGCACCTTATAAGTGGTTACACATGGCCATTTACAAGTAAAGAAGCAGAAGTTGAAACTCGGAAAGGTGAACTAAGTTGCCTCCTGGCTGGTCACCCAGTCAGCAGAAAACCAGACTTTCAGCCAAACCACCCTAAGCCGTTATACCGTGTCTTGTTATCCTCCGACTTCCCTGTGTGAGCAGAGATGGGCTGGCCTGTGTAGAGTTGGCTTGTGCTAACGGTGCCGGTCCTCTTGGATTGGAGCAGTTGTCACCACTGTCACTCTTAACTTGAATACACTGCATTCCTGTAGCCTAAATGTGGTGTGAATGTGCCCCGCTCACTCAAGCTCTTTCCGGTCTTCCTTTGATTTAGGAGAAAGGATCCTGGGTTATGCTGAGGAGCCCTGTTATCTCTGGTTTGTCATGGAGTTCTGTGAAGGTGGAGACCTGAATCAGTACGTCCTGTCCCGGAGGCCGGACCCAGCCACCAACAAAAGCTTCATGCTACAGCTCACGAGCGCCATTGCCTTCCTGCACAAAAACCACATCGTGCACAGGGACCTAAAGCCAGACAACATCCTTATCACGGAAAGGTCTGGCACCCCCATCCTCAAGGTGGCAGACTTTGGACTAAGCAAGGTCTGTGCTGGGCTGGCCCCCCGAGGCAAAGAGGGCAATCAAGACAACAAAAATGTGAATGTGAATAAGTACTGGCTGTCCTCAGCCTGCGGTTCAGACTTCTACATGGCCCCTGAAGTCTGGGAGGGACACTACACAGCCAAGGCTGACATCTTTGCCCTGGGCATTATCATCTGGGCAATGATAGAAAGAATCACTTTCATTGACTCTGAGACCAAGAAGGAGCTCCTGGGGACCTATATCAAACAGGGCACTGAGATCGTCCCTGTTGGCGAGGCGCTGCTAGAAAACCCAAAGATGGAGTTGCACATCCCCCAGAAACGCAGGACTTCCATGTCTGAGGGGATCAAGCAGCTCTTGAAAGATATGTTAGCTGCTAACCCACAGGACCGGCCTGATGCCTTTGAACTTGAAACCAGAATGGACCAGGTCACATGTGCTGCTTAAAATTCAGGGCAAAGCATCTTGGGTGTATTTGAACTAGGTGAGTGTACTCTTTTTGTTGTGCATGCAGTCTTCCTGGACTGGACTTTTCACCCTGGGCCCCGGGGTGGGCCCCATGGAGTTGGGAAATGCAGGATTAAAGAGAACTAAGTTATCAAAGAGTCCCCCCGTCCTGATTAGGAGATGCATGGGATTACTTGAGGAAGGGTTGGGATGTCTAAAGAAGTTTTCTGAGTGAAGTTGCATTTGGGCTGAGTGGTCTGGAAACACATTTTCTCGTCAGTTAATTAATGCCTGCTGCAGCAAATGTGCAGAAAAGGTGCAGGCACTTGTTTTCAGACCCGTCCCTAGCTGTATCCCCCCCAACTCGCACACCCAGTTCTGCACAGTCAGATCATGCTGTAGTTGGGTGCGGCTTGTTTCCTGCTCTTTCGTCAGCTCTATCCTGAGAGTTTCCTCGTGTCATACTTTGAAAATATGGCTTTCAGGAATCGACATTTGAGTACATAAACCACAACGTAGCCATTCTCCTACTTTAGGTATCAGATGGTTTCCCTGTTTTTAGACACTATAACTGTGTGAGTGAATATTCTTATTTGGAAGTCTTTGCTTGTTTAAATTAGTGCCCAGATTTATTGCAGGCTTTCACTTGTCAGGTACTGTGCTCAGCTCTAGGGTAACGATGGTAAGCAATATCAGAAACTTGCCCCATCCTCACAAACTCTGCAGCTTAGTTGGGGAGAGAAACATGACTCAATATTTATCATAGTTGCTTTGCAGCAAAGGAAAAGGAGCATTGAGGAAAAGGGACCTTTCAGGGGATGGTGCCCAGAGGCGTGAGTAGGGAACTGGGGACAAGGAGGAGCATTCCAGGTAAAAGGTCTAGCCTCTGACCTGAAGCCCGATGGACCCTAGCACAGTTGAGAGACTTCACCAATTTGGGCTAGTGAAGAGTGCAGTCAGGCAGAACAGGGACCTGCTGGGAGAGTGTGGGCAGAGCTGAGGCAGGAAATCCAAAGTGCGTACCAGGAACGGCCAGTTTAGTTACACAGAGCCTCAGGTGTGAGCAAGGGAAATGAGATGAGAATTTAGGTGAAACCTGGGACCCTGGAATTTGACCTCGACTTAGCAGCTTTGGGGACCAGAGCAGAACATTACAGCATTAAGAACTTGAGTGTTGAATTGAACAAAAGACTGGAGACTTGGAGACCAGTTGGACCGATTTTATTCACACTAGTGAGGGATGTTGTTGGCCCTGAAATTGAGTAGCACTGAGGATAGAGGAGTGCCTTGATCATCAGGCCAGAGAATTGGCAAGACAACTGACCGGACGTGGAAGTAGAAGAAAATAATAGATGTGGAGATGAGTGGCAGTAGATACAAATGCTGGCCAGTGTTCTGGTCAGGTTTGAATTCTTTTTTCTTGACAGAAATCTCCATCCTTTTTGGGGGGGTGGTGGGGAGGCGGGGGAGAACATTGGCCACCATATTTGCTAGGTATTTTCACATGTACCATTTAATTTCTCCTTTCTAACCCTGTCATTTACTCAGTATCCTGCTAAGTTAGAGGCAGGTGTATGTTACTCATGCCCTTCCCTCCTCCCCCCTTTTTTCTTAATAATATGGCAAGCTGGAAATAAGCTGCTCTTATATGTCGTTAAAGCCTTGCGATGAGGAGATGGAAATGGGGCTGATCCCAGCGGTCACTCCCAAGGAAGTGGCCTCAGCACACCAGACACACCGCCCTCCATCACCTGGGTTAGTTCTTGGTCCCCTCCTTCCCCGTCATCACCCTCAGATTTCTGGTTGGAGTTGGTTCATGCTGAGTTGAGCCTAGTTGTATCTGTAGTGTTCTCAGCAAATTTATTCTGGAGTGGCTCGCTTGGTTTGTTCTCCCATCGCCCAAACATTTATTGAGTACCTTCCAGATGCCAGGCCAGTTGGGCATCCTCCTGCACAATGGGTAAGAGAGTGGTGTTCCCTAAAGCTAGGTTTGGGCTAACACCACGTTAGAGTCCCCAGAAGGGAGGGCTAGAGAGTGTTTTCGTTGTGCTTCATGCTGCCACTTCACATCACATCTTTTCCACTTTAAAAAAAACTCTTAGAATTCAAATTTGCCCCAGAGTTGGAAGGAGGTGGTCGGTCATTGGAAGAGGGACCTAAATTTGGGTTAGGATTATTAAGGAGTTGTCACAACGAACTGAGACCACAGCTTGCATTTGGATACCCACCCTTGGGATGGGTACTGTTTTGCATGGCAGAGTTTAGCTGAACAGGAGTGATTCCTGCAGGTGGAGGAACTAGGTGCCCTTGAGAGGAGGGGAGGTTAGGGACATCATATCCGAGGCTCTGACCGCCAGCAAAGATGGTACCAAAGATGGTACTGCACTTGGTCTTTTGGTGCCTATTTGACTGCAGCCTCTCCTGCCCTGGCCCAGCTAGAAAACTAGCATTTTGGACCTGAGCCCAGGTCTCTGTGACCAGGAGCTGAGCCTGTGCCAGAAGTTGGCAGTCAGTTGTGGTGTAAGGGAACTCTCTGCCTGGCTGACGTTGGGGAGACCCATGGAGTCCAAGCACCTTCCTTCCCACCAGGCTTTATAGGTAGAAAGTCTAATTCCATATATTGATTCAGCATATTTATTGGGAAACTCCGCGGCAGGGACCGTTTTAGGCACACAAGATACATTGGTGAACAAAACAGACGAAAATTCTTGCAGTTTTGGAGACATTACTAGGGAGACATCTTACTGGGGAGACAGACAAAAATAGGCGATATGTTAGAAAGTGCTGAGTGCTGAGCGGGGCGTAGACCAGGGTAGAGGAGATCAAAATGCTGGGAGGTGGGAGTGGAGGTGTGTTTTTAAGCAAAAGAGATCAGGGTGGGTCTCCTTAAGACAGTGACACTTGAGCAGAGGTTAGGAGTTGAGGGAGCAAGTCACAGGGATTTCCAGCAAAAGCATTCCGCACTGAGGGAACAGCCAGCCAGCATAAAGGCTTGAAGACTGTATCGAGAGCAAAGAGGAAAGTGTAGGAAGAAGGCTAGGGAGGTAACTCGGAGTCAACTAGAATAGGCCGTATAGGCCATTGTAAGGATTTAAGCTCTTATTCTTGGGACAGATGGAAAGACATTGGTGTGTATTCAGTTATGTGACTATCTGATCTTTCAAAGGGGTCACTGATTTCTACGCAAAAAGTAATTCACCTATAATTATAGGGGAGTAAATGAGGCGCTGAGATGAGAGGCTCCTGTAATAACCCAGGTGAGAGGTAATGGTGGCTGTGATGATCGGATTTGGGGACAATTTTGAAGTCAGCGAACAGGATTTCCTACTGGATTGAATGTAAGAAAGGACTTAAGGATAACAGGTTTTGGCCTTGGAAGCCACTGGAAGGTTAAAGTTGCCATCAAATGAGATGGGGAAAACTTTAGCAGGAATAGGTCCGACTGGAGGAAGTTAGGTTTTTGTCATCCAGAAGTTTGGAGTGGCTACTTTGAATCACAGTACAGAGGTGGGGCGGGCAGCCAGGTGAGTCTGGAGCTCAGGGAAGAGACCTGGCCTGGAGATGCAAGTTTAGAGATGGCCAAGCACCACAGTGAGTGTAGAGAAGATTTCAAAGAAAGACTGAGCTCCAGGCCATCTAACATTGGGGTTGGGGGAAGAAAAGGATCAGATTGGAGAGCTGGCGTGCAGTCCTCGGCAGGTGAAGAGAAGACCGAGGGCGAGAAGTGATCAGCTTTAGCGTATCTGCCAGTAGATGAGTGAGGTGCAGACTGAGGATGGACCATTGGACTCAACGACTGGGAAGTCCATCGTGCTCGTGAGCAGCTCGGTGGCACACAGTGGGGAAAACCATTCACTCGAGTAGGTTCGAGAGGGAATGAGGGAAGAATTGGAGATAGTGAGAGAATAGACCAGTGACTCTTAGTTTTCAGTCCGAAGACCGTATTACACCCTTGAAACTGGGGATTCCAGAGAGCTTTTGTGTTAGGTGTTATCTGTGGATACTTGCAGTTTTAGAAATTTAAAACTGAGAGGTGTTTTCAGTGTTCCTCTCAAGTGACTATCAGTAATAGTAGGTTGGCTACATGTTAACATAACCATCATAATTTATGAAAAATTTATTTTCAGAAACAAGTATTTAGTGAGTCGAATGGCACTGTTTTATAGTTTTGCAAATCTCTTTGATATCTGCCTTAATATCCAGCTGGATTCTCATATTTGCTTCTGCGTGATAACCTGGTGCCACCTTCCTCATTATAGAACTTCTGGAAAACTCCACAGCACACTTACAAGAGAATGGAAGGGGAAAAGACCGATAATGTCCTAGTGTTATGAACGGTTCAGCTCCATGGACCCCCTGAACTCCAGAGCACACTTTGAGAGCCGGGGGCGGTATGGATGACCATCTGGGGATCCTGCTGGGGAGGGGAGCTGAGAAGTAGGTGGCAGCTGGGGGCCCAGGAAGAAGGGAGTTGTTCAGGCTCCCTTCCTGTGTGTCCCGATTCCTCAGCAGCTTTTGCTTTTCCATTAGACTTGAAGTCGTGGCTCTGACTCCAGCTGCAGGCAGCGAACATACTTATCCCTAGCACCGTGAAGAAACGCCTCAGTGATCTGGGGCTGTAGGTTTGAATCAAGGCTGGGTGGTCTCAGTGGTTTGTAACAATGAATGAAAACGCACTGGGGTTCCTCTGAAAGGAATAATGCCGTGTGGACTGTCTAGGATTGAGTCCCACTTCTGTGTTTTACTGGCTATGTGACCTCGGGCAGGTTATTTCCCCTCTCTGGGTTTTATTATCCATAAAATAGAAAGTATCATATTTATCTTACTGAGATTTTTGGGAATTACAAGAGGTTGTGAAAGTGCCCTATAAAAACTGTCTAAATGAAATGTTAAACGGTAGAATTTTAGACACACACTTTGACTCAAGGTAGAAATATTGCCTTCTGATTTTTGCAGGAGACAGTGGTCTTTAGTAGGGGCCTTGGTTCTGATGACTACCAAATAGCTCTTTTCTTATTTCTGAACAAAGCTGTACTC